TCTATCTATCTATCTATCTATCTATCTATCTATCTATCTATCTATCTCTGTGTATTATTTGTTCATGAATGCATGCACCTGAACTTGTACATGCAGAGGTCAGAGGAAGACATGGGGTATCTTCCTCTTTCATTCTGCCTTTTTAAAAAAACTGTTTATTCGATGTATTTATTTTACTTAATGTGTTGGAGTGTTTTGCCCTCATACAAGTATGTGTACTGTATGTGCCTGATGTCCTCAGAGGCTAAATAATCTCTGGAAAAAAGTGTAAATTACATTTATTTTTTTGTGGGTGTGTGTGGATGTGCACACCGTGAGTGTGGAGGTCAGAACACAGCTTGAAGTTAGGGAGTTGGTTCTCTCCTCCACCACGAGGGAATGGTCACTTGTTAGGCTCAGTGGCAAGCATCTCTACCCACTAAGCCATCTCATCAGCCTGCTAAGACTCCTGTCTGAAAAGTTCCAAGATGGAGCTGGAAGGTGGTGGTGCACGCCTTTAATCCCCTCACTTGGGAGGCAGAGGAAGGTGGATCTCAGTGAGTTTCAGGACAGCCAGGGCTGTTACACAGAGAAACCCTGTCTCAGAAAACCAACCAACCAACCAACCAACCAACATGTTCCAAGATGGTCTAGATTAGAGGGGCCATACGTGACCCAGACGACAGGACTGGAGGAACTGTACAGAACTCACAGCTCACGGCTGAGGCTGTTCCACCCTGAATGCACCCTATCTTGTCTGATGTTTGGAAGCTAAGTGTTGTGGGTCTAAGGTTCCGAAACAACTCAAGCAGACATAAGAAATCACAGAGAGCAAGATTTTATTACTAGGCAGCACGGCAGGAACTGACCTGTCAGGGACAGCAATACAGACTCGGGAGCTGGCTGCATCCCCGAATGTCAGTTGAAGCAAGGATTTAAGCACAAACCCCACAAATATCTGTGCCAAGTTACAGTTTTTCACCAGTCAGGATTTAAAGATTAGGGGTTTTCCTTGTGTGTTCCATCGTTGTCAACTGATGTAAAATGGGAGCTTTTCAGATTCACTTGTTCTCTCTTTTGTTAGGATCAGCCATAATGTTTTAGAGAACTGAAGATGCATAACAGACTGTTTCTATTGTTTAAGGCGGAGGTTGGCCAGCTACTGGGAAATTCCCAGCTCCCCTTGGGCTTAGGAATGCAAACTTTGTTTCATCCTACAGGTAAAATGGACCTGAAGTCAAAATGGCAGTGCTTAGGACAAGGTGCTTTTGCCTAGGAAGAACTCACAGGTCTGTCTGGCCAAGTTGGATTTTAGGGAGGACATGGATGAGATTTACATCCCCTGGGAGCATCATGCTCAGAGCATAGTCACTTTAATCTTTAAAAGGGGTTTATTCATTTTGCCTGGCATGGTGAGCACACCTTTAATCCCAGCCCTCGGAAGAAGGTGAATCTCTATTAATTCAAATTTTTTGAGACAGGGTTTCTCTGCAGCTTTGGTGCCTTTCCTGGAACTAGCTCTTGTAGACTGGGCTGGCCTTGAACTCACAGAGATCTGCCTGCCTCTTCCTCCCAATTTCTGGGATTAAAGGCATGCGCCACCACCGCCTGGCTCTAGTATAGTCTACTTCCAACACGGCTAGAACTTTACAGCGAGACCCTGTAAGAAATTAAGACATGAGCGGAGATGTGGTGGCACGCGACCTTAATCCCAGCATCCAGGAGGCAGAGGCAGAGGCAGGAGGATTCTGTGAGTTTGAGGCCAGTCTGA